GGTGCCAGGGCTGGGGGAGGGGGGGTCTGGGCTCACCCCTCTTCTCCCTGCAGAGATCCGGGAAGCCTTCAAGGTGTTTGACCGGGATGGCAACGGCTTCATCTCCAAGCAGGAGCTGGGCACGGCCATGCGCTCCTTGGGCTACATGCCCAACGAGGTGGAGCTGGAGGTCATCATCCAGCGCCTCGACATGGACGGTAGGACCCTGGGCTGGGGCTGGGGACAGGGATGGCCCCCCCCAGCGCCCTCCCTCTTTTGAAAGACCCAGTTTGCCCCTTTTCCACCCACTGACTGGTGGCTGCAGGACCCGATGTGGGGTGTGGGATGCAGGGGGGCTTGATCCAGGCTCTGCCTCACGCCTGGAGCTTCCCACTCATCGGTCACCATCATCATCATCACCCCTGCAGCTTCGTTTAGGAGGGTTTAACGATCCTGGAGCACTTGCTGGAGGGAATGTCACCTCTCCAGGCACAACGAACCTGCCAGGGCTGGATCCTGCACCTCGGGCACAGCCACTACAGGGGTCCCCAGCTGGCATTGGGGTCCCACTTGGAGATGGGGTTCCAGCTGGTGTTCGGGGGCCTGGATGGTGTTGGAGGTCTCCAGCCAGTGTTGGGGACCCCCAGTCAACATTTGGGTCCCCAGATGGCCTTAGGGGTCTTCAGACAGCACTGGGGGGTCCTCAGCCAGTGTTGGGGTATCCCAGCTGGTGCTGGGCACCCCAAAATTTGTTGGACGTCCCCGCTCAATGTTGGGGTCCCTTCTTGGTTTTGGGGGTCCCAAGCCATTATTGGGGGTCTCCAAGATAGGACTAGGTGGGTTCCCAGATGGCACTGGGGTATCAGCTGTCACTGGGGACCCCAACCAGTGTTGGGCATCCTGACCAATGCTGGGGGACCCATAACTTTGCTGGGGAGCCCCAACTGGTGTTGGGGTCCCCACCTAGTCCCTGAACAGCCATGGGTGGCCTGGCTGCTGTTGGAGGTCCCCAGCCAGTTTGGGAGTCCCTGGATGGGGAAGTCCAAGGGCCTGTAAGAGCAGCTGCAGCTCCAGGCCATCACGAGTGGATGTTGGTGACTCCTGGGTGGGATGGGGAAGCTCTGGGCACTGCCTGAGCCCCCCCCAGATGCCATGCCCAAGAGCAGGGTCCCCCCTGGCTGCCCAGCAGCAGAGTGTCCCCAGACAGTGCCCAGGCCAGGAGTGGTGTCCCCTCAAAAACCATTGAGGCTTGGAGCAGGAGCCCCCTTGGGCTGTGCAGGAGCAGGGTACATCTGAGTCCAGGCAGGGCGGCCCCCCCCCCC